CAACATCGCTCCACGTCGTTTCACGTCGCCAACCTCCCCCTCAGCTGCCACAGCGCCTTTTGTGCCACTTGCTAAGTCCTGCACGGGTTCAACAGTGCCTCTCACCTTTGAAATCGTGCCTGGCTGTGTAGTGTGGTCTACATGCTGCACTGGCCTGTCACGAGTAAGACCAAGACTGTCACGCTCGCTGTGCAAGTTGTGAGACTCAGTCTTGTGACTTTCGCTCTGTAACGTTTTTATCCCGATTTCCTGACCATGAGCATGATCAAGTAGATGAACATGTTGAGAGGGACACTCCTGAGAGGAGGACAAGGAGGCACCGGCGGTTAAGGACGGTGGCCCTGAGGAGGACGTCTTAGAGGAGAATACAGAAACAGAAGCTGAGGCGTCGGCGGTGGTGGCAGAAGTGGTAGTTGTGGCGGTAAAGGACTCGGAAGAGGAACTTGAGCATCCACACGAAGAGGAAGAGGTCTGGGACGTGGATGAGGAGCTGGGGTTGCTTGATGGCCGCTTTGCGTATAGCATGCTCAGCATGGSGATCCGCAGAGAGGTGGAGACATCCTTGCCATCCCGAAGAGCACCGTAGAATAATGACATGAGATGGAACGTAGCCTCATCTGAGACCTTCCAGAGGGATGAGACGACGCAAGGCACCTTACATGTAAGGAAAGCCCTTGCATAGCTCAGAACCCCYTCAGGCGTGACGAGTCCCTTCGAAGAGTTGCAGCAGCTTAAGACCACCAATAACGTTTCCAGACCATGGCGGAATTTCTTGATAATCTCCTCAGCTGACAGCCCCGTAGGATGAAATTTGTCACCATCACAGTCGTCGACGCCGAACAGTGGGTCCATGCCGTGCACCATGCGAGGCTGTCCCCGCTCTTCCTCACAGCTTGAAAGAGCCAGCATCCCCATCTCGGCACAGTATATGTCCCTGTTTATTTCGGAGCTTGAGCCGACAAGCATATGTGAAGCAATGTGAGCGAACGGAGGAGCTGATCTATGTGCTAGTGCCTTGACTAGTTGTGCTTTTGTGGCATCCTTTCCGGTGAGAAGTGTTGCGGTTCTTGGAGCAAGCATCTCGTAGATCATTTGAGCTTCTTCCTCGGCAAAAGGTAGCGCCGACAAGCCAACATCGRCAGGCGTTGGGTTGCCGACAACGACCGACTTCCAGCCCTGGTGTTCATCCTTCTCAGTATCCCGTCCTTCACGTTTACTAGAAAGATTTCCCATGGGCTTTGCTCTAAGAAAAGCCTCACCTACGGCAGGAAGCATATGACGGGGACAACCGCGCATAAGAAATCCATCAGCAGTACTCCCAAACACCAACTCTGGTCTAGGAGCTGTACATTTCTTCTCTTCAGCTTCTCCCGCTTCAGATTCACAGTCGGGCTTAGGCCCAGATTGAAGCGCCGCTGTGCTGAGGAGATCCTCGATCCATGCTTCTTCTGACTTCGGAGCTGTGGATGCGTCCTCTTCTGCTTCCGCGTCTGTAACATTTACTGCGGAATCTTGATCTGGCACAGCCTCAGGGCTCAGCTCATCAAGGAGGTATTCACTCTGTCTCTTCAGCAGAGGAAGAATATGAACAGCAGGCACCACTGCCACAGTGTGCCGCTCGATAAGATATGGCTTATCTGATGGCCAGCTTCGTTTTGGATCTCACAAGAGTGCAAACGGTACTCCCCACAGAACATTGTGTGGCACAAAGATCAGCTTAGCCTCTGGAGAAAGGTTTGTTATGAACTGCTCAACTGGTGCAATCAAAAGTTCATGCAACTTCTCAAGGACCCTCCTTATTGTCTGTTGCCTGTTTTGTATTTTTGACGCTGCTCGCTGCTTATGATTAGAATTGCGCTGTGTGGATGGAAATTCTCCATCTTGGATAGTCGGACAAGGAGGGCTCCGCCTGACATGTTCAGAAATTTGCACATGCTGCCACTGCTGCTGCCGCTGCTGCTGCAAGGTGGATTGTGTTGTTTTGGAGTGACACTGTGGTATCGTTGACTTTGAGCATTTTTTATTTGTGCGCAAGCTCTGGAAGTTGGATGACGCAGTTGCCTGTCGTTCACCTTCCATGAAATCCGAGTTCATCAGTTCCCTGAGCTGTTGCAAGTGGACCTCCACACCCTTTGACCTTTCGTATGTCTGCTGTTCACAAACCAGGGTCTGATCTGCTCCACGAAGAACATAAATCAGAACCACTTCCCGGTCATCCCTAGAAGTGGAACTATTGTTGAGGTGGTACTCGATCAAAGTTGTCCATGGACCACAGAGGCCACATGCATCCTCCATCATCTCCCCCAGGGTCGGTTCGTCAGAGTCGATAGCTGCAAATTCTATGTTATCTTTGTCCTCCTCCTCTGACCATTTGTAACAAGGCTTACCACAAGGAGCGCGGAGAGGCAAGCGAAGCCAAGTGGGCCCATATGCAAGCACAGAGGAAAGAAACCTGTCATGGGACCATTCACTCCACACAAGTGCTTCACGTACGTCGTTACGCTTCAGACAGTCTGTCTGCACATGGAAAAACATGTCTGCTTCCTCCCACCCATGCAGCGAGAGATACCCCTCAGAGAACAGCCCAACTGCCCTCTGCCGCATCTTGAACCACATCATCATCTTCRACCTCAGTTCGGCAGTGGATTGCATATCATCAGCCTCATCGTAGACAWCCAATGCGGTTGATAGTAGAAAGTACGACCTCCAGTCCATTGCTACTTCCTCTAAACATTCGGCCTCCTTTTTCTTCTCTCCCTTCAATGCAAGAATGCCTGCTCGAATGATTTTGATGTTCCCGGCTATTTCACGAAAACCAGAACTGTTACATCCAGAGTGAATCCCCAGTAGCTTGTGCTCCGCCCTTTGGACAAGTTCTTCAAGCTCGTCTATGGCCGGAACGTGAGAGCAACCTTCCAATGACTTGAGTTTCGTATTAGCCTYGAAAACCAGCAAAGACGCATCTCTCTCAGCGGTTAGCATGTGCAACTTTGTGAACAGGTCTCGAGATCCCTTGAAGAAGCACAGACTCTCTTCAATCATTCCATGAATCATACACAACCGACCAAGCTTGAACTTGCATTCTGCCCACAAGACGCCTGTGTCCTCCAGCGGGTAGCATTCTAGCGGGTCAGGAAACTTTGCAACGAGGTACTCATGAASCCATAGTGCCTCATCAAGCTTCATCTTCGACCTCTCAATCAGTGACAGTCTTGAGAACAGCCCTACAATTTCACAGATTAACTTCAGCTCCGTCAGTGCAGCTTTTGGGCATTCTGGGTTGGCCCCCCCGACCTCCCTCGCAAATCTTGAACGCATGCTCAGTAGTTTGCAACGCTGTGTGTCAGTGGTCGAGCTCTCCTTTCTGTGGTATCCCACATCCCACATCGTTTCATACACTTTCATACCCCATTCGCGAAACCGTTCCTCGCTCTCCGTACAGAGTTGTCCGCACATCGTACAGTACACTAGAACACTGAACAATAAATCCATACAACTGTCGGTTGTCCACTGCCCAGTGCCAGYTTCTCTTATACCTAGACACGCAAGATCGTGAGTTCCCCAGAGATAATCATTCTCACGACCCAGCCGCTGGGCCTCGTCTATTTGCTCCTCTGTGTCACCAATACACAGCAAGAGGTCCTCTTGAGTGAGTGTGGTGGCTTGTGCGAGATCTGCCATCAGCGCCATGCATTTGAACTCCATGGACTTACCGATACCGAAGAGCTGCTGGATGTGTTGGGAGGAGAATTCATCTCTGACCGCTTTGTTCTCCAACTCTGTTGGGAGAGGGCATGGCATACTGCAAGATTCAAATGACGACGATAGGTGTTTCCAAATCKCAAGTGCAGTTCTCAAAGGTTTCTCGCAGACAGTACTGGTGCCAGGATTCTCTTTCTCATAGGAATCAAGCATTTCTTTCTCCTCGTGGTTTTCTTGGTTACGGTTCCGGAAACGGCAAAGAAACTGCACGTCAAGTAAAGCCACCGCTCTTAGGGGAAGATAGTAGTCCTCATTGTCGCGGATCTCGGCGGTGAGTTGGAGGAACCTTTGCAGTGCCTTGAACCTGCCAGTTGGGCTGTACGGGCGCTGATACCTCTCCACAAAACATGCACAAAAGAGTTCTTCCACTTCGTTGAAGGAGGAAGAGGGTGCCAAGATCTGCTCGAGCGAATGAGGGGATGAAAACACTGTACGTTCCTCCCATGGTGCCGGCTCGAAGGTGCCTCTCCATAGCTCTGTGAGAAAGAAGGCAACATGGCGGGATTTCCCTTCTCTTCCTCTCCCTCGCCAGGAATCAAACRAAGACTCCACAACACGTACTGCAAGCAAAGTCCCACTCTCCCCTTCTTCTCCATTGTGATCCCTCACCAACTTGATTACCTCTGTCAGGTCTGGCATTCCACCATAGCAGCCATCCACGAGAAGCTCCTCATCAGCCTGCCCACACAACGAATGTTGGGGGGGATCCRCTTCCAACCCCTTCACAGAGACATCCACGGTAACTGCTGCACCACCATTTCCATTCTCTGAGGAATGATGGCTTCTGCTGCTGCTATTGCTACCCCCACCTTGGCTGAGGGTGCAGAGCTCCAAGTCTTGACCGCCATGCGCACGAGGAATCTGCGCCGACATCGCTCTCTTTTTTTCAGCCAGTTGGTTGCTGCCGAATGCTCCACAGTGAAGAGGATTAGAAGCTTGTTTGGAGAACCCCACACAAGAAGACAGTTCGAAAATGAAATGTATASGACTGGCAAAGAATAGCTATGGCAGGAGCTCCGAAAAAGGTTTGTGGGCTCAAGAGACTTCTGTGAAGTGTCAAAGAAAGTTWCCTGAACGATTCTGGCACCCCAAATGGGTCAAAACATATTAACCAAACAAATCAACAAAATAGGAAAATGGGGTAACATCTTCACATCCCTCATCGGTAGAGCCCTGGTCATAAACACATCGGTCTTTTCAATGATGTGGTACATAGCATCTATATGGACAGTTCTGGATAGCTCTATCAAAGAACTGAATCGTAAAGCCAGATCTTATCTTTGGACAGGAGACCCCAACAAAGAAAATGGCATACCCAAGATTGCCTGGCACTATGTCACGAGAAGTCCACAGAAAGGAGGTATGGGAATTATAGACCCTGGAACAGAGACGAAAGCCCTGCAGACCAAGTGGATTATCAAACTTTTGATGAATCCTGACTCTACATGGAATAAACTA